GCTGGGACCTCCCCACCCCACCCCCCTCGCTACCTTGGGCATGTTCATGTCGTCCATGAACACCAGCAGGCGCTTCCCCGTGGGCGGGCCGTACGTGTCCTTGGTCCTCTTTTCCACACTGGCTTCCAAGTTTCTCTGGATATCCAGGGAGGTGGTGCGGGACGAGAAGTTGACCGTCAACACGATCTGAAATGAGATCGTCGGGGAAGCTGCCCTGTCCACCGGGGGGCGTCAGCAGACATGCTGGAAAGGAAGCTGTCATCTGTTGTGCTAACTCCGTGACATCTGAGCCTTAATTGTGTGGTGGTTCACATTGTTGGCTTGTTCCATTGAAGCCCTGAAGGAACTTTCAGGAACTTTCTTACTGTGAGCAGAGCTGGAGTCTACACAGCAAGTTGGTTTTCCATTTGACCACTGACACTCATTCCGATTCCTGACACTCACTGCAATCCCCACAAGATAACGAGGCCCTTCCCACGTCACCCCCGTTCTCCTGTTTCCCCGTTTCCTGGCATCCTAACCATCCCAGGCTTCTGAGCCCTTCTCCTGGGCCAGTCCAGTGACCTACGTTTGTCTCTTGATTAAGATTTTTCAGGAAGTTCTGGGTAGTAGCCGTCTTTGAGGTGCCTGATTCACCGACGAAAAGAACAGGCTGCTTAATTTTAGTCACTTGCTCCAATATCCAGCTGGTGCGGGTGGTGTCCACTGTGGGAACTGAGGGAAGGAGAAAAAAATCCCCACATGCATTAAGAGCCGCCGGGTCCGAGGAACTGCAGACAGCACATGGAATCAGAGTGACCACTAGCCAGAGGCCATCAGGTGACTTTGAAATATGTGTGTGGGGGGGTCAAGCCTGCTTCATAAAGTGCCAGCACCTCAACTGACCCCCAGCTTTATTGAGGTGTAACTTACATCCTATAAAATATACCCACTGGACGTGTCTCCAGCAAGACTAGGATGTTCCTACAGTTGAGCCCTCACCATCAGCAGCGAGCTTCGAACACCCGAGCTGTTCTTAATGCGTGATTCTAATTTCTACACAAAACATAAGAACTCAGCTTCCTTGCGGATCTCCTGCGTCTCGCGGGCTCTCCTCTGTGGCGTCTGGCTTTTCCCCACCAACACACACCTCTAAAGACAGTAACCACAGCATCAGGTTGAGGTCGACCTTGCACTGACAGGTTTTAATCCCAGCGGTTGCTGAGAAAACAGATACGCCTTGGTCCATTAGAACAATGGGGCCACCACCATACATGCTGGAGAAGCCATTCAGCCTGTGACTTATCTAAACAGCCAGAGGCGTGTTGAGAACACAGCTCTCTGCAGCGACTTGCACACACACAGCACAGGCCTGGTCAGTGAGGACCCTCTGCTTAAACGCGGCCATGATCTTCCTTCCCGTGCCCAGTCAGCTCCGAGGGCGGCAGGGGCTCCGTGGAAACGGGAGACAAAGGCCAGCAGCCCTGTCCACCCCACCCGGTACTCTGAGCACCCAGAGGGCACACGGCGGCTCTCACCGTCCCTGAACCAGACCCTCTTAGCCCAAGGGACAGGCGCAGGCCCCGCTTACCCAGGATGTCCACAAACTTCTTTTCAGGACTGTGAACGTACTCGGGAACTAGTTGACTCCACGGGATCCATTTTTTCTCTTTGGAATCAAAGTGAAAGTCGTACAAGGTAGGAAGATGCCCTGTAGGAGACAGGGTGTGTTTCTTCTTGGTCACTGGGTTAGGGAGACAAAAACGTCACCACAGTCTGGAAATGAGCTGATCCCTCCCGTCCACTGGACAGCTAGGGAATCAGGAGTGGCTGCCCAGGACAGGAGTTTACTGGGCACTTTGAACTGATGCCGCCCATCCACCGGACAGCTCCTGGAAATCGGCAGTGGACGCAGAACAGGGGTTTACTGAGCACTTTGAGCTGATGCCTCCCTTCCACTGGACAGCTCCAGGAAATCGGGAGTGGACACCTCAGGACAGGAGTAGACTGAGCACTTTGAGCTGATGCTATTGGGTTACTAGAAAGGTACCTCGTGAGAACTCTGAACTGATGCTCCTCACCAAGTATGCAGCCCTCATAGTGCTGGGACCAGTGCTACCTGTCCAGCAGACAGACAGGGGCTGAGCTGTGACTCTGAGCTGGGAGGAGGAAGTCGCACGGGGTCCTCGCTCCGGGCGTGACAGCTGCTGGTGGGTCACGGGAGGGTGGTTGATAGCAAGTATGCAGTGTCCCTGCTGAGGGCTACATTCCACCACAAGCCTAGCTCCCCAGATTCAGGCACACGGTCCCTCCTGCACATTTCAGGAGCCTGATGTGGGAGACTGGGTGACGAGCAGGACCCTGGAGGGCAACACAGGCTCAGACCTGTGCAGACGGCCACCATCTGTGAGTGAGACTCTGCTGATCGCTTCCTACCCCAGTCAGAACACCACGGGCAACAGCGATGGTTGATAAGCAATGCGTACGTGGCCCTTGTAACCACAGCCATTCCTGAGCCGTCTCGAAACAATTTGGAATTTGGTTAAAATCGTGTCCCTGCTGCAAAATGCTGTGTCTACCCAGAACTTTGGAATGTGGGGCTATTTGGAAATGGGGTCTTGACATGAGAAAGTAGTGAAAATGGAATGGAGTGGCCCGAACTCTAATCACTGGTGTCCCCAGAAGAAGTGGAAGGGAAACCAGAGACGCACAGGTGTAGACGACTGTGTGGCTGTGGAGGCGGAGATGGTGGTGATGAAGCCGCAAGTCAAGGGACTCATGGGACAACCAGAGGCCAAAGGCCAAAGAGGGCTCGTCCCCTAGAGCCTTCAGAGGGAGCTCCGTCCTGTTCTGGCTGATTCCGGACCCCTGCAGTCTGGGAACTGTACAAGAACCACCTCTATTGTGTGGGACCACCTCGTTTGGGGAACTTAATTACAAAAGCCACATGGCATTCATCCAGAAAGCTCCCCAAGGAAATGCCACCGGCTGGATGCCCAGAGGACTGGTGACTGGAGTCCAGGGCGGGCAGCTGGGAGGCCGGTCAGGGGAGGATGGAGCTCAGGGAAGGGCTTGGGGACTGGGCGTAGGGGGGTCAGAGGAAGGGAAAATGGTTAAAGGGTGTTATGGATTGAAATGTGTCCCCCAAAAAAATATATATATGTCAGCTTGCCTAGGCCATTATGTAATTATCTTCCACTTTATCTTATTATCCTATGTGCTATAAAGCCAAACTTTAGTCATGTAAATGAGTTAATGACTGAGACTGGTGGCCGCTATCAGGGAGGCTATTGACCCAGTGACTGCAGCTGTGGGCTCACGCGGGTCAGAGATGGTGAGGACAGCACAGGACAGGACAGGGGTCAGTTCTGTTGTTCACAGGGTCACGATGAGTCATACTCAACTCGACAGCATCACATGACATAGGACAGAACCTGAGGGTTGAGGCGTATGAGTCAATCTCGTTTAAGATAAAAAGGAGATTTAACAAGCAGGCGGACATCAGGAGGACTGGGAGGGAAAAGAGCCTTGGGCTGAGTGTGTCCTTTAGATCCAAGGTCCCTGCACTGGGAACCTTCTGGAATCCGGAGGCACACAGAAAGAAAGCCTTCCCCAGAGGAAATACCGTAAATTTGGAGTTCTGGCCTCTTAATCTATGAGAGAATAATATCTGGTGAAATCACCCATGTATTACGTTTCTGCTTTTGTAGCACTGGGCAACTGAGACACTGCACTGTGGTGTCTTTGTGACAGCAGCATTGGATGACTGAGACAGTGCACTGTGGT